GAAATAATTACACGGAAACTGTATTCTTTCAAACACTGCCTGGCCCGGATAGTTCCAGTTCCTTATGGCTAGCTCTTACATATTGTTCTAACCCATTTCTAATATTCTGTGTAGCCCACGAGCTGGCTTACCAGGGAGGATCTTAACCTGCGTCTGTCTGGAACGGGAGAACCATGGCGACTCCTGACACAGCTTCTTTTTCCCAGCATTCTCCTCTGTCTACTCCGCCTACCTAATTTTCTATCCAATAAAATGGGCCAAGGCAGTTTCTTTATTAATAAGAAATCACTCCCACATCAAGTATACCCTACAGCCATATTTAAATCACCCAAATGTATTTACTAACGAGCATAGCATGGTTGCTTTTTAATATTCTAACATCCATTTATTATTAACATCCAATCTACTTTTAATAAGAATATTAGTTGTGTCATATTGGTAGCAATGTAAGATTATTTGAAGCAAATATCCCCATACTCTTTAAAGCAAGAAGCACCCTACTACCTAAGCTTTATTTAGAGAATGAAGAGATAATTTTATGAGAATAGGAGCAAAATGTTTTGTTTATTTTTCTTAATCTGTATTTCTTTCTGTGTGTGTCTTGATAATGCCTGGGGTCTTAGCCAGGTGTGGTGGCTCATATCTACAATCTCAGCATTTAGGAGGCTGAGGCAGGAGGATTATCATGGCATATAGTAAGTTCCAGGCCAGCCAAGGCCACAGAAGGAGACCTTGACTCAAAAATAATAAATAATGCCTGTAGTCCTGCTGATATAATTAGGTCTGAAATACTGCATTCATTCCTTTTTGCATAGGAAAAAGAGAGAACTTTGAAAATTAAATTGGAGGTGGGCACTAGAGGGATAGGTTAAGTATTTGTGTCATAAGGACATAACCTAAGTAATGATCTGAGTACTGTTTTTTACATTAAGTCATACTTGTTTTCTGATTCTGTTTTTTTTTTTTTTTTTTTTTTTTTTCAGTTTCCATAGCAAGGCGTGTTCAAGATCCATTAGCTGAGCTAGTGAAAATTGAGCCGAAGCACATTGGAGTCGGAATGTACCAGGTAAAGCAATGTGGATCATTTAATTTTTGAAATTTGGCAATAAAAAGAGTGTGCTTAAACCTGGCATTATATTTAACCATTACTGGAAGTAGATTTTCATTTTCAAAAGTTATACAGTTGATAGGAAGGTAATAAAAGTTTCAACTCTCAGGGAAAGAGACTACTTTCCTTTTTTTCTTGTCTTAATTATTTTGATCAGGTTTTAAAATTGTCCATAATCAGATTTAAAGACTTTGATAGCATTAAGCCAGGCATGGTGGTCTTTTTAACTTTGTTCTAAAAATGGAGGTACTGTGGACCATTGGGCTGTGTGGCTCTTTGTTTAAATCAGAATGAACTCTTGCTTGTTTCTGGTCTCCCAGGAGAAACCTCTGATATTTACTGCATTCATTTCAATTTGGTCATTATTAGTTTTCGATTTTGACCCAGAACAGTCTAAAGTCTTGCTCCAATAGTTGTTGCTCCAATGACATCATCATTGTGGTTTTTGTAGATACTGTATTTTCAAGTCTGGAGGTTGTATGTATGCACTGAATGATTGAGGACAGCAGTTAACCTTGACATAAGAATCATATAGAGAACATGGAGTCCAGGAGACTCGTGTAAAAACTATTCTCCTTTTTGTTGAAATTCTTTCCTACACTATTCCTATGATACGCACTTAAACTCCCAGCTACTCAGGAGGGTGAAGCAGGAAGAGTCCTTGCATTTTTAAATTCAAGCCCAGCCTGGCCAGTGTGCAAGACTAAGTAGTCCTTGTTGTTTGGTTTGGCTTTTTGATACAGAGTCTTACTGTAGCCTAGGATGGCCTGAAAGTCCATAAGTAGCCTAGGATGGTCTCTAAGTCTAGTCTACCTAGTAAACTAGAGAGCAGAGGAATGAACATAGAAAGGAAGGAGGCCAGACAGAGCAGGCATGCTTCTCCCTGCTTCCTGGTCACCGGGAGGTAGACCGCACTGCCTCACTATTCTTTCCCTGTCGTGATGTACTGAAATTTCGGAAACGTTGAGCCAAATGAATCTCTTTCCTTAAGTAGTTTTGCTCAGGTTTTATTCACAGTAATAAAAGTCTAACAAAAGATGTTTAACTGGGTTTGTTTGTTTGGGGATGATAGTCATTAAGGGATCACTAGGAATACCTGGTATCTAAGGAGTACCACCTCGTGTTTTTGTAACTTAAGCAGATGAAGTTTTGGAACACCTCAAGGTCAGAGAAAAGAGAGAAGTTTCAGATTTATGGAACCCAGGAAGCCTACCAAGTTTTTGACATTAAGGCTATCTTTAAGTCTTTAGTAGTAGAGGACTGACCTCCAGGTTGGAATTCAGACGTAGTCTTTAGTTTCAAAGAACCTTGAATTTATTCCAACAGCACTGAGAAATCACAGGCAAATTTTAATCAAGATAATGGTATGATTTGTTCAGTCTGGTGAGAACGAATGAGACAAGGAAAAGCAGGACAACTAATTAAAGTAGCTGATAACTGGCCCATGTGAGTGATGGTGCTCGGACAACACTGGTGGCAGTTAATGTAGAAAGGAGTGTTTTGTGGGGACTACGTGGTAGGTAGGGGAAGAGATATTGTTAGGGATTTTCTCAAAGAGGTGTACTGTTACATGTTTTATGCCTTGGTACAGAAACTTTATGGGTAAAGATCATTAGTTCCACCTTGAACATGTTGGTTTGAGATGCCTAGGAGATATCCAAGTTGAGTCTACTTCTCTGAGACTAAGGGAAGTAGCCATGCTAATTCAGGGTGCACATAGTTGAACAGATAATGAAAAGAAGACCGACGCACTGAGTTCTTTAACTGCACTATCACCCCAGTTGTCGACACCCTACATTCCAGGAGATGGCAGAAAAGATGCACGTGAGTCTGTACCCAGGGAAATGCATATTTCTGTGAATAGCTGCAAAAATAAGGAGTCCCATCTGTGGGTGGAACTCAGGAATTTCTAAAAGATATTAAGCATGAATAATAGTGTATTTAATATAATAATAATAATAATAAAATAGAAAAGGCCTGGTGGACCTATAGCCCAAAACACACACAAGTCATTAGTTAACACAAAAGCTTGAAGCCAGATGATATATTAGGGAAATTATTTACCATAAATTTATATGTATTGTATGATAGTTACATATTTTATTGTTAAGAATTTAGATTATTTCTTTGTTGATTTGTAAGCATTTATGTGTTTGTTTATTTGGAACATTTACAGAAAATATATAAAGAGCCTGCCCATGGCATGTCATCATTAAAAAAAGTTCAGGCTTTTGAGGCACATAAACGTGCAAGTGCCTATTACCCCAGATGCTTGGATAATTAATAAGAATTCAATACTTCCCTAAGTACCACACCAAGACCTTGTCTCAACTACAACAACAACAAAACTCACTAAGTTTTATTTACATGAGAAATCACTCTTAATGTGATGTTTTCAAGTTACACAGAGTTGGTAGTGCAGCAGTAAACTGGTCTCAGAATGCAGCTGTGAGCTTCTGTGGAAGAAGACAGTACCTGGCAGGCTGGATAGGATGAGAGATTTTTAAGATTTTCTATAATGAATATATTTTATTTTAACTAATATGTATTTTGCTTTAAAATACATATTTATTTCTATATCTCAGCATATGGACCATGTAATGCTAAGACTTCATACTGTGTAAATCAAAAATCATAGTAGGACTGACTTTCTTTTTCATTTGGGTCCACTTTGTGATTTTGATGTAAATTTTATCCCGACTTAAAACACAAGAATGGCCAGATAAACATGGCTGACTGAGAAAATGAAAGGTGTTCACAGAAAGTTAGATGAAATAGCAGAAACTCCAGTGGTATTTCAATGGAAACTGAAATGCTTTTGGTTTAATGGCAGCTAAAATCCTTGCGGCAGTGCTCCAGTTCTTGTCTGAGAAAATGAGGAGAGTTGATTTTAAAAACACATGCCTGTCATTATTTCTGGAGAGCAAGACAGCCAGTGTGGTCGAATGACAGCATATCCTTGATTGACCCCTAAAGACTTTGCTGGAAAGTGGCTTGGTTTGACTCCCAAGAAAACACTCCCGGGCGAGAGCAGGATGACGCAGGGCTGCCTGGGTTGGGCTGTGTGGGATGTGGGGAATGATGGCTTAACTTGGCCTTGTCATACCCCGAGTTTAAGTTTAAATAAGTTCCATTTACTGGTTCTTTGTTTCTCCTTGGGACTATGTTCTTGCACTTTTCCCACTCATTAGCACCTGCATTTGGTAAAGTGTGTGTCTGGTGAAATAGCAAGGACTCAGAACAGCCCTCTGTCCTCTGTTTACCTCTCTGTTTGATCATTGTGCTGTTATAGAATGGGATGGTTGTGCAAACCACCCTTGTTCCTCACTCCTGAGAATAGCGAAGAGCACAGTAAAAGGAAAATCACCTAGCCATAGCGCTGCAGTCCTTCTAGTAGAACCTCACAGATAGCAGTTTGCACTTCTCCTCTCCTCTGTGGGATCAATTGTGGCTAAAAACAAAGAGGTAAATCAAAACAAAACAGCTCTTTCATGAAGAATGTACTCGACACTTCCAGTTTAACCTGCTGGCCTGCTAGGTGTCATTTTGTTTAGGTCTATAAAGGTAAGGCTTCTCATCTTTTTGGTGTCATTTGCTTAGACTTTTGTTTTTTCAAGACAGGGTTTCTCTATGTAACAATCCTAACTGTCCTGGAACTAGTTCTTGTGGACCAGGCTGGCCTCAAACTCAAGAGATCCGCCTTCCTCTGCCTCCCCCCAGTGCTGGGATTAAAGGCGTGCACCACCACCACCCAGCTTGCTTAGATATTTTTAAACACATTTGAACTACTGAGTAATGTGTCATTATAGAGTGAGACTCTTCTGAGTCCACCCATAGTTGTCTGGGTGACTTGCTTAGATTGGTACTGTTATTATTAGCAGTGATAACTAAGGCAAAGGTGAAACAGAACACTTCCCAAGCCAAGGCATTGGCCACTTTGCTGACTGGTTTGTGTCAGCTTGACAAAAATCCATAGTTATCTGTGAAAAGGAACTTCAACTGAGAAAATGCCTCACTTGCTGGGCGGTGGTGACACATGCCTTTAATCCCAGCACTTGGGAGGCAGAGGCAGGCGGATCTCTGTGAGTTCGAGGTCAGCCTGGTCTAGAAGAGCTAGTTTCAGGACAGGAACCAAAAGCTATGGAGAAACTCTGTCTCGAAAAGTAAAAAATAAATAAATAAATAAAAATTAAAAAAAAAAGAAAGAAAGAAAAGAAAAGAAAATGCCTCACTTGGCCTGGACTGTAGGCAAGTTTTCTTGATTAATAATTGATGTAGGAGAGCCCAGCTTACTGAGGCAGGGGCACCCCTGGGCAGGTAGGTGGTCCTGGGCTCTGTCACAGAGCAGGCTGAGTAAGCAGCGCTCTTCTGTGGTCTCTGCTTCAGTTACTACCTCCAGGTTTCTGCCTTGGCTCCCCAATAATATATCGTAACCTCTAAGCCAAATAAACACTCTTATTCCCATGTTGCTTTTGGTTACGGTCTTTACCACAGCAATAGAAACCTAAACTAAGGCAGCCACCTAGGTAAATTCTGCCAAAATGATTTTGTAGTCACCTCCCTTGACTAAGCAGGATACATACTGTCCTGCCCACGAAGTTAGGAAAGACATTTAAGAGTCTAGTAGTCAGAGCTTTCCTTGCTGTGAACTAACTGAATATAAACAAGTAATTGACCTTGACAAACAGTGTGAGCCAAACTCTTATGTTATAATTTGTTAAAAATTACCCAGATTTTCAATTTTAAAAATTTTCTCTTGGGACTGGAGAGAAGGCTTAGCGGTTAAAAGCACTGGCTGCTCTTACAGGGGTCCTCAGTTCAATTCCCAGCAACCATTTGGTGGCTCACAACCATCTGTAGTGGGATCTAATGCCCTCTTCTGGCATAAAGGCATCCCTGCAGTCATATATAAAAATTATCTCCTGGGTTGTTTTCTTACACCTGGGTAAATTAAGCTT